AGATTGTGTGAAACAAACAAGAACGCCTGTTAATACATTCTTATGAAGGTGGAATGCGTGAAACCAACGCGGCTGGAGTTTCCAAATCAGGCGTATGATAAAATTACAATTGAACAGAGAATCTGAATTTGCGAGCGATGCAATGCACCGTGTGTGCGTGATGACTGATTTGATTGATCTGAAAACAAAACTCCCGGTTGCTGGTATGTTTTTCAGACACAGTATCTTTCGAGAAAGATTCGGCAGACTTGCTATTTTCAGTGACTGAACAAAGCAATTATTCCAGTTTCTTTCGAGTGATATACTAGTACGCATTCTGTCGGTTGAGTGCAAAACAATGCTACACGAGTCGACTAGGCAAAAACACAGTTAGAGTACAAGTTTTCGAAAGCCGATTCGCAGATTGGCACCAGGGATTGGAGAACATAGTTAAAAATTCAAAATAATATGTTTGAATCAGTGAATAATATGACATACAGCTAAGCTCTCGCAATGTCGCACTCCGAAGAGGGTGCATTTTCCAACATCTCCCCACGTTTTAGAAAACTCAAACCAACCGCAGGCGCAATAACGAAGTTTCTGACTATGCAATATCTCCCCCCTCAGTATGTCGCAGTTCTTGATACCTATCTGCGTGGTCGTTGACTGATGTTTGCGACGGCCACTGAACAACCAAACTGCAAAGTTGCATTCACCCAATGACGTTTCATTTAGAATGCCGTGAAAATGGCATTGTTAGCACTGGATAACACTTGCGAGGAAGACACATCGATATCAATAATCGAAGACAGTGTCATTCGACGTCAAAATGTGCAGCGGACTGTCGATCAGAAATAAGTGGAATGTGTTGGACATGCTGGATCAGAAAGGAACAACTCAGAGCTCCGTAGTCAAATCACTTGGTACTTCAAGGAAAACTGTTCACAAACTTATATCGCATCGAACGATTATGGGAGAATTTTTGAACGCTGGAGCATCTGAGGAAAGAGTCACCTGGAAACCAACGAAAAGTTCAAGACGGTAAATGAGGCGACCTTGGCTTAGTTTACTGCTATGAGGGAAAAGCACGGCGAGTTACAATGGTGGAGAGCATCGTTCGTAGGAAGGCAATCCAGCTAGCACAAGGAATGCATTGTCGTGACTTTGGAGCTTTCGTGGGTTGGTTCCGCCCTTGGTTAGGCAGATGTAGTATTCAATCCTACAAAGTAATGGAGAGGTAGCTACTCATGTGCATCAATTTGCAGGTTTATGGGTAAAGTTTGATAGTATCACCATGGATATGTTGACTGTGATATTTTGAATGCAGACGAAACACCTTGGTATCATGAGCAGTTCCTAGAAAGGATATTACGTCTCCAAGGACAAACAATTTCTGGATCCAAGAAATCCACACAAAGGTCACGTTACTGCTTTTCGGGAGCAGTTCTAACGCAAAGATAAATTCTGCGTTATTCCCTAGTTGGCTTTCCGATGTCCGCCGCAAGATGGTTTATCAAGAACGCGCTATTCTTCCTATTCAAAGATACCCCTTACCTCCAATGTCAAATTAATAAGGCTGCTTCCAAACTTTTCTTCAGTGTTACAACCAATGGATCAGAGTGTATTGTGCTATTTCAAATGTTCGTTTCAGAAAGATTTGCTGGAATATGTTTTGTCTTCCGTCGAAGATGAGCAACGTAGTATAAAAACTGAAGTGGACATTCTCACGGCCAGTGATCTGGTCAAAAAAACTCGGATGTCTTTGCATCCGCACGTACTGATCAATGCTTTTATAAAATCTGGGTTTAAAGCCACATAGAACCAGCCAATGATGCAGCCACCAGAGGATAAATTCGATCTGATTGAAGACTTTACTCACCGCGTGTCTATTGATGAGCGTCACTTTGAAGAAATCGCCTGTTTAGAATTTGAAGGTGAAGAATAGGGTGATTTAAAATTGTTGTATTAAGTATTTTTTAGTCATTAGATGAACTCGTTTCCAACCACGCTAAGCGTCGCAAAGAAGATGAATGTGAAGCAGTGAATGCGCCGTAAGTTATCCCAATTAGAAAAGTGCACAAGTTACTGGATCAATTGAAGCTGTTTGCCTTAATTAATGCTCGGATTTCGGGTCGATTACTGAAGTGTACAATCGTTTTACACAATGCGCTTTTTGATTTCTAAAGAAGAACGAAGCTGAGACAAACGACTATTAACGGTTTTATTAAAAATAAATCTTTGTAATCTGCGAAGGTTTTCTTCTGCAATTCTGTAGAGCATCTGAAGAAAGGTAAGTGCTTTGAGGATAACTAGACACCTGAAACTGAAAAGGGATGAATACTAGATGCGCTGTACTGATTGATGTTATATATATTATTGATATATATATATATATATCCACAGAAGATTTAAATTTCTTCGATATATAAACGATACTCAAGACGATGCATTTAAATTCCATTATAAAGAACAGTACATAATTATAAACACTGGAAACAAGTACCGGAAAGAACGTACCTTCATCGACCCAGTTTATTTTGTCACGAAACTCCCGATTGGTTTTTAATGCTACTTAACACCATCTAAAACCGACTAACATGTTATGTCGCAGCTTCTGGAATTTATCCACATTTCCGCATTCTCGGTGGGTCCTACATAGTAGTATATTGACTGTGATTCCCCGAGAAAATGATGCCTTGTAGCAGTGGTACACAATCTGAAACCTTTTTATAGTACCAATCAACAACGGATCCATTGAGACTGAATATGAAAATGAACGTCTGTTCCCTTCAGGAGAGCCAAGATACTTACCTTTTTTTTAGATTTCACACGATTCTGAGTCCAGACTAAATGCCAAACCAACCACGGTATGATTAACTTTATAAAAAAAAGAAAGTCCATGGCCTTCTGGTGGGTATAATACTGGCAGGTTTCCCAGGCCAAAGCAGGTGGATTCTCTTGGGGCAGTAACAACCGGAGCCTTTGATTAGCCAAAGCTTGACTTTCAAAAGAGCGGGACAGTGTGAGAAAACCGCATTCCGTTGGGGAGGGGGGGCGGTGTCCTGTTGATCGGGGTCAAATGTACAACGCGGCTAATACACCTCGATGCCCAATAGAACCGGTGACAACAACCACAGACACGAAGCGGTGGGTGGGTTTTGTGTGTTTTTCTCGGTCCGTTTGGAATCAGTTTTTAGATAACTCCCCTAGGTGAACTACCAGAGGTTCACGGACGCCGTCACAGCCCTGTATGTTGGCTTTTCGGCATCACACCTTGGTGGGGAAAACACCGCTACGGGAAGGCAGTGAGTAGGATTTCCTCAGCTGACGCTTTCAGGAACACTTGGTCCTATAGGGGCACTTCGCTAGGCGCGAGGAAAGGGTGACCAACCATAACCCAGAACACCGTCCCCCGATCATGCTGAAGGTTTTGGATTTATCCAACAAACTCTGGTAACAATTCGGGCAGAAAATGACGTCCGATTTTTTCGTTGATCTATTCCCTTCAATTCCATCTGACCGTCTATCTTTCAGTAGAAAAGCAGGTGCCTGCATTTTCAGTTTTTAAAACCAATAACCAAGCACTTTCGTGCGCTGATTTTGGTTGCTATCTCATGCCCACCTGTTAGGATGAAGGAGTAAAGGAAAGATTGGAATGTTCACATCAGTGTAAGGGTAGATATAGATAAGTCATGGAGACTAAGATGGCAAAGACATTGAGTGGATACACGAGTGCCACTGTTTACGACACAGCCATATCACAGGCTTGATCGATTATCCGCATTTAACTCACAGTTATCCCACACCACTACTCACAAGTAACTGTGAGTTAAATACGAATAAACTATCTGATTGATCAACAAGCTGCCTTAGTCAGGACCTTTGGAAATTTCAATTTAGACTTATGCCGTGCCTCCGAAACACGCAAAACAAGATTCTACTTTAAGCATCACCTTGCGTTCTTCACATTCAACCTCATTCCCACGCCTCACTCTCTGAGTATCAGGCGATTCGGCATTCGAAGCTCGCGATGTTGCTGGTTTCGGGATTGCGCTAATGTCCAGTACCACGCATGCTAGCTTTGACCGTGGTGACACTGTAGATAATGCATATGGGGTGTGTAGTGAACAGTTATCAATCGCATTCATGCGATAATGGAAACAGGAAGGTTATGGAGAGATGGATTTGGACAAAAATAGAAACGGTCGGGTCGTTTAACTCACATGGTTTGCAAGACGAAGGAAAGCACCCTCAGTGGGCTGACCGTGAAGTTGACCATTCTGCAATACAGCGTTATTGCACAGACAGCCAATCTAATAAACAGGAAGAACAATGTGGCACAAGTGAGAAATCCACATGATTGATTCTATCATAAAGCGAGTCGTCTGGACAGAATCCCGGGAACAGAACAACAACAACAACAACCAGAAATTCAGTGAATTTATCGTTACTCGTATTCGGGGTCAAATGAAATACATCTTAAATTAAAATCACTCTGAGATACACTATTGCGCAATATTGGGTATGGATTTTCTGTGCGAATAACGAGCTATTTCGTTCAACAAAGTCAGATAATCCACGTTTTACGGTCAGGCAGATGTCACCATAAACCTCACACTACAACGGGGATCGTTTTGAGAGATTGAACCGCGCACATATGCATGAATAAACCCACAAACAGAGATAAAAAGGTTCAAAAACATTTGTCAAGCCCAACAGACGGGCCACGGAATTCAAACTATGAAATAGTCGTCAAGCCAGAAACAAACTGATCCAAATTCAGGTTGCATCAGAGTTGGTAGGCTCCGTGCCTTAACGGGTTCAAAAAGGATCAATAAATGACCAGGATACAAGAAAAGTGGTCAAAACGGAGAAACAATAATTGGAAAGACAATTAGGCATTGGAATTTTGTGGTTTAGGATAAGAGTACCCAGAAAAGCAGCCAAGAGAAAAGGATGATTAGTTGAATGCATCCAAAGAAATCTTTATAACGATAGTTGAAACTCATGCAAAGCCCATCCGTGGCATTTTGACAGCGACTAAGCTACTGACCCACACACCATTCGTAGCTTTTCTTCTATCTTAATGCAAAAACGTAGGCAATCTTGAGAAGCATTCTTACTGCAGCAGGGAAGATTAACAGAATTGCATACACTTATTTTCAATAGTAAAAAGTATCTTACGTAGAGTATTCTCATTGCCTTTGTTTCCTCAGTTCATTTCACGCAGTCAGTAAGCTGGCACTGTCATGCGACGGTATTAGTTGCTGTCCTTCGGTTACTTAACCATTGAGGAAGGTGCAAACCAAGCAGTCTAAACCAGTAAAAAATGAAGATACAGATCCGTACAGAGTAGACGAACAAGCTCTACTGTTAAAGAAGCTAAGACATTTCACTCAGTGTCTCCAACCATCGATTACGTAGATGCCAAACCAAGGAGCTCAACAGGATTGATATATCAAAGGCACTAGGCAAGGTTTTCGTACCTTTATGTCAGGTCCAAGTCTGACCACCGTTAGCCTTCTTTCACAGATCATTTGCTTCAGCAAACATCCCACGACGATGAAGCTTATTTCGTGACGCAAGTAAAACTACCCCAACCAACGCAATTGCGAAGTTCAGCGATGGCGATCATCCGATATTCTGTCTAACGCTGACGCTGCTTGTCCGATTGTCCCATCAAACTGCAACCTATAATTGACCCTTTCGCAAGCAACCGGAAGTCGCCGCGCCGGCGCGGATTTCGTAGGGTTACAAAACAACAATAGAACTTATTATGTGTGTACTGTCGCAACAGAAAGTTTTTTCGCTTGATTTTACAAATTAGAAGGAAGTTGCGACATAGGAAAACCCAGTTCATTAACATTTGTTTGAGGATAAATTGTGTGCCAGGCAAATCATGGTACAATAATCTTTACAAAAAGAAGAAACGTCCCACGATTGGCTAGTGGGCTGAATACTGCCAGGTTGCCCAGATCAAGACAGGCGAATTTTCTTGAGAAATTCACAGCCGGGGCCTTCGGCTATTCAAAGCCTGACCCGGAAGGCAGGAGAGCTGTGTGAAAACCACAGTCCAATGGGAGCCGGTGTCCAGTTCATCGGATCATTTGCCCTTCGGACGGGAACAAACGTCCAGGGTTCCCAATACAACTCAACGTCCAATCGTACCGGTGACCACTGCCACAACCGAAAAGGTGTGGAGGTGGTTTGG